TTAATTTCGCCCCTTCCGTGAAACCATGTTTGTTTTTCCGGATCTGGTGGTCCTCTCTCCAAATTTCCTCCAATTTTGATTTTAGAAATTCCCTCCCAATAACCTCGCTACTGTTTTTTTTTTTTTTTTTTTTTTCTGCGGCCTTCATCTGCATCTTTGCTTGGTGCCCTCTTTGCCTGCCTCTCGCCGTGCCCCTCTTCTGTGCCGCAGCTTTGCTGCGGCGTGTCCACTTGTTACTTTTAACAATCATGGAATTGACGGCCATGTGGTTTCTCTGCGACCAAAGGTTTCGAGACCTAATATACATGCATCATGGGTTAACAACTTAACACAAGTTAAACAGGAAGGCAGCTGTGCATCTTGCTGTGCTTTGTAGCTTGATGATAGGATCCTTTATATGATCGAGAGGAGCGAGGATCCGGAACTAAAGGAGGCACAGTCTATTCTTGGCCGGCTTCATCGGCGTGAAATCTATCAGGTAATTACTAATTACTAGTTAGTAACTGTTATTATATGTTCCTTTTTTAGCTTATTTTCAACATTTTTCCATTCTTCCCTGAATTGCATGGCCTGTCATTGTATCTGATGAACTGTCAACTGAACAGATCTCACTAATTTTCTAGTGTAATATTTTCTGCTGCCTTTGGGCCTTACCTCACCACACACCAAATGCACAAAAGCCAAAAATTATGGCGGTCCATCTTTCCATGTTCTAGTGGAATATTCACTCTCATTGTACATTTGGTGAGTGGTCGGGCGAGGCGCTTCGTGTCCCTTGTTCCCCTTTTCATTGTTGTCAGGGGAGCAGAGATGCAGCAATGGAGCTGTCTCTTATACACATCTAGATGTGTATAAGAGACAGGCGTTATGCGGTCGCTTCCCTGACTGGATTCTGTTTGCCCCTGTTGTTCCCTTTGTCCATTCAGGGAGAGTGTAGGCCCTGTCTCTTATACACATCTAGATGTGTATAAGAGACAGGTATGAGCGTGCTTGCTTCCTTTCTTGCCCTTTCCCAGAAACCCGCGTGTGCTTTGAGGTGGAGGTCCTCCACTGCCACCGTGCGCAGGGACAT